TACAATGTATGCTTTTACTTATTTTAGAGCTGCACAAAAGACGAGTGTACTTGAAGCCTAATCATGAGACACACATATGTGCTAGTTGTAAATTTTAAAGCAAACTATATATAACTGGAGGAAATGATAGCAAACTTTTGACCACTATCTGTTGTTAACATAAAGGCTGCAGTAACTTTGTCAGTACGGGGCAATTTACAAGTAAATCCATGAACTGCGTTGTGAACCTTATCTAGCTCCATTTTATCTTAAATACATCTTAAATAAAAATAGGATCAGGTAATTCAATGACTCTGCGCGAGTGCTCACAGGATTGAGATACCCAATATGCTTTTCTTATTGTAAGACATAGTTCACTCTAAATAAGCGTACATCTGACTGCCTGCAGAATTCCATATTTCAGAGACTATCTTATGAATGTATAAATCCAGTGTTTGTTTTAACCTCTATTACGAAATAGAAGCTTGTCGGCTGTATCTGTAGGTGACATGCGATGAATTCGGCTTGCCTTACAAACTTCACGATAAGGTGGGAAAGTATGCTTGAAAGGACACCCTTAGGTGATATCAATCGACCAACGAATATTTAGCAAGTATGCTTCATACATGACCAAACGAATGTCTCTGCCCCTTTATGACATGCCCTTTTTTACGTAGTGTTAGAAAACGGCTATTCTAAACTTAATGCGAGTAACAGCAGTGCCGCGAAGATTTCAATAACCGGTCTTAATTCCTTGAAGCACTAATGAATACACTAACACTGACTTAAAGAAAAATCTGGATACACAGGCTCCACAGTTTTCAAGAAATCTCGTTGCCATTTTAAGCTCGCCGCGGCGGCATTCGTTAAGTCGTTTTGGGCAGATCGGCGACTGCAATCACTATAAACGAATGTGTCAAACACGAACACTCAGGTAGAACCTAATGCCAAACAACAGTAATTTCCTATACCAAATACAGAACATATATTGATACTACACCTGAAACCGATCCTTCCATGAGTGACAAATTTCATAACATGTCAATTTTGATGCATTGGTTCAAGGATATTTTATACATATCTAGGTTTGTATCCATAGGCTTGGAACCTAATAATAATATTGAGTGTTAACGATAACAATCATATACGCGAGACATTTGGAAGAAAACACAGAAACTACAATCGAATAACTAAATTAACTATAGAAATCGTTATGTTCAGGAGACAACTTGTGATAAAGTGAACAAAAGTACAAGTCAACCTTAAAATCACAAGTTCTTTCTTTTTGAAATTTTTATTTAAAAAAATCGTCCCTCGTGAGAGAGGGTGCATCGAAAACAACAAAAGGTTCACTTGGAATACAGGAAGTGGAGATTTCACAGAACGAAGATCACCAATTTTTTCCATTCTCCTTAGACTATTAACATTTCGTGCGCCTCTGGAAGACCCGCTAGCCTCACGCGTGACATTTGACTTGACCAAATTTACACCACATAGAAATACGTATCGGAGAGCATGTTATCCCACCAGTACTCTAAATGCGAATCAGATTAATACGTACAGACAGCCATTAACATCATCCTGGCTAGCTAGCGTAGGCCGTTCGCTGAAGTCGTGTCCCTTCTATAATAGAAGATCAAATAGTTCTTCGTCAAAAGTGACTACTCTAATGCTTTTGCAAATATTCTATTAGCGAAATGTTTTTAGTCAATCCTCAAATATCTTGTAATGGCAAACTTACCATTGTCCGCCATATTCGTGGCGCCGTCACTCGATTAATCCAGCTGCAGCGCTCACACTCCTAGAAGCGGCAGCAGCCGGCTCTAGATCACAAGAAAACCAACTGCAGTTCGCACTGATGTCGAAATATGTCCCTCAAGCCCGTTCAAGATTTTACAGTACCCTACACGTAACGCTTTTTATCCTACAACAACTTTTACTGCCTTAACGCAACTCTGTTGTAATTCAAGCTCGACCACAATTCTGTTCAGGTAAAGTGAGTGTGTCAATCACACTTGGAACGGTTGAGCAGTTACAGTATACATGCACAAATCTGTAGTCACTTCTACACTGACAGGTCTCTCGTGTGCTTACGTTCTTCCCGGAATCGTTTTTGTCTGTTCTTATTCCTTTTTTCTTTCAGTTCAATTGTCCTGATAGCAAAGACACAGAGCGCTTGTCTTCTTTAACCTGGACAAACAAACACCCAGGTAGAAGGGTATAAGGTATACACGCTCCACGGGCAAACGAATGGACGGGCAGAAAGTGTTCAGATTCGATGGCAATCCCCCAAAAATTGTGGTAGTAGTTGCACGTCCTCCTCCTTCTCCACTCAATTCCGATTTCTTTGCAAGTCCACTCGACTTAGTCCTTCCACTTCTTCAGTCTTAAAAAGCTACACGTATAGAGTACATACAGATAGTCACTCACTAGAGAGTCACTCATCTACCGCTGCGACGAGTTGCGGCAATAGCGCGATATTGCATTGCAGTTCTCAGTTTGTCGTCTAATTAGTTGGTTAGGCAGGGTGGCCACGTTCGGTGCTCCGAGGCGGTGCAAGCGGCGGTAGCAGTCGCAGCCGAGTTAGTTTTTCCTAGTTGTTAGTTGTTGTTGTTGTTGTGGTGGTCTGTGTTTGTGCGCCTATAGTCCGGTTTTGTCGGCAGCCGAAGCTTCGGCGGCTGATGACAGTGATTTTGATTCTAGATTGTCCGCTGCTGGAGCAGTGAACACCTTCCTAAGCAGCGACAGCAGCAAGAGCAGTAAATGTTCGTTTTGTGGGGTCACGTACGACAGGCTACATGGAAAACAACGTAAACAATTACTGTTCCGGCTATGTCAGGGTACTCTTAGACTATCGCAGGGCAACCATTAATGAAACTGCGCCAAACTATTAGAGAAAGCAATACTGGAATAGTCCGCAGATATACGCAGGTCGGGATTAATACAAACACAACTGCAACGAAGTTCTGCTAAACCGAGTTGATGATGCTGTGCCGCTGAGGCGGCCGCTGACACGCGTTATCAGAGGCTATTCTCAGTATTCGTAGAACTTTAAATGCCGTCAATTAAAGTGATAAAGAGATGTTAGCTGAAATGTTTGGAAATATTGAAGCAGCTTGCAGAAGTAAAGACTTTGATGTCGAAGCGTTCGTTTATTCTTGCTTTAAATCGTAGGATAAGCAGTACACACAGAAATATGGATAAAGGAAAACGAATATCGGCACGTTTGTGTTTTATTAATGATATCGGATACTTACTTAGACAACGCACCCTGTGACTGTTACCATTTTATATTATACTATGCTAACAGGAAATGCTTCTGATATCGGTAGGCTCCAGAAAAATTGTTCGCAGACGATTCGAATTTCAATCTATGTGCCCGCGACGTTTCATAGGTGCTTTCAGATGTTAAAGGCGGGCCGGACGGGGACTCGTTCGGAAATTAATGCAGTTTCGCTCAGAGAATAGCGGCCACGGATCGAAACCTTCAAGCTGGTGTGACAGCTCCTGTATTGAGCACTGTGGAGAGACTTCGTTTGTTTTCTTGTGCGTGCTGTGTGTTCGGCCAGCGGCTCGCGTGTGCATATGAGTGTGTACTTCATTGAGTACAGTTGTTTATTAATGCCCTTCGCTGCTTGTCTGTTTAAAGGCTGGACTGTGCTGCTTTGGTGAATGGTGGGAGAGTTAGATTACGACTGCAGCTCCGCCAGGTAGTCGACGATCGACATCAGAATGAACAGCATGGAGGCCAGACGGGCGGAGCTAGAAAAGAAACGGCAGAAGCTGGAACAGCTCCGTAATGAACGTCTCAAAGCCAAAGAAGAAAAAGAACGCCAGCAAAGGCTACAGGCTGCTGCTGCGGGGGTAGGTTCACCTTTGTGTTCGGTCGCCTCCCTCTGTTTTGAGTGAACGAAGGCCAGTGATTGTGGGCGCTGTCTCTAATGCGATCAATAATTTTCTGACGCGATAGATCATGTTTGGGTAGGCAATCAACTCGTAAGTATCTACTAATACAGGTTACTACGAGATTTGAGCTTACAAACAGCACTGCATCAATTAATTAGACGGGATTAAATGACAATTGATAAAGCGCGCCCCTTATTAGCATTTGACTGGAACGCATAATGACAAACCAAATTCATATGCATTACACTGAATTAACTGAAACTCATATAGCTATAAAAACGCTTCACTATCATCTAATTTGTAAAAGTTGCTTTCCCACATAGTTCAACCTAAAAATGCCTATACGTTATTATATTACTATTAGGTTCTATCTTAAGTGATAACAGCTGTTCAGTAGATACTAGTGTGCTTAATCGATTCAAATTTACTTTTTTGTACTTTACTCCCTAATAAATACATTCGTTTAACATTCAGCAATAAACGCTGACCAGGATCCATATATGTACCAAAAAAAAGTCGTTGCTTCATTCATATTAGCAGACCCAGTTTATTTATAGCTTGCTATTTTTTAACTTCAGATGCTGAAGTGGTGATTTAATCGCAAACAGGCCAAGTCACACTTCGGTACCAGTTTTATTCGTTTACAATGAATTTGATATTATGTATTTATCCGTTACAGAAAAATTTTATTCAATGCATGCAGTGCTATGTTACTATTAACCTAGATTGCAACACTCGGTACCTCACACCATGTAGTGACCAATATCTCTCGAATTAATGAGCTTTGTTCCGAGGCTCGTGTACTAATTTGCGCTAATTTGGAAATCCGTTTTAGACTGGCGAGGCGTCCATTGCTGCGCGATCTGATGTGGACGACATCCTTGACTCACTGGGCATTAGTCTATTATCGGGAAAAGGTAATGGTAAAAAAACACGATGTGAAGGCACCATGTAACCTCAAAGATGCATGTTACAAACCGTATAGACCACACAAACGGTTATGTATTGTCTGCTGTCGAAGCTTTTTGTGCTTCGTTGTTAAATAAATTAGTCGTTATTCTTAGGGTAGTCGATTATTAAAAATATTGTCCTTTTTATGATGAAGGATAGACGTAAATCATTTTCAAATAATTTCTTTCATTTCAATAAAATCAATTTTCGTTGTTAAGCTTTGCATTAGTAAGTTTAGCAATCCATTGAAGTGTAACCATGTAGTATGAATATGCTTCATTCTCGTTTCAGATTCGCCTCTAGGATCTAGTGGAGTGGCGGGATCGGGGCACTCGGTGGGAGTTGGTGGAGATACTCCGGATGTCCACTCGATTGCCTCATCCGTTCAAGCAACGCCCACCAGAAAAGCGAGGTAGGCAATCAGATTGTGGTGCTTCAACAAGGATTCAACATGACCTTACGTATATTTACTTTTCTTCGTTTAGAGAAAATATCAATGCGTTTAATTTAGCTATTCTTATACATATTTAGATTTCGCGTAGCACATGTGTGAGCAATAGAAGACTGAGGTATTAGTATAGCATGAAACAAACATGGTAGACGTTTTAATTAAATACATCACTTTTGGCATTGACGAGGCTTCAGACAAAACGTACTTTGCGAATTACTTTGTATTTAAAAAGTAGTTTATTCTCTATCGGGCTAAGAAAAATGTTTTAAATACCTATTTTTTGTGTTTTCAGGAAAAATGTAGCTCTTCAGGTGGTTACGGTAAACCAGAGCAATATCCCTCCTAAGGAGTGCGTTATGTACTCAAAAACAACACAGACTTTACCAGGAAACGATAGAGAAGGTGCGTTCAATAAATCGTGGCAATCGGCACTTCTGAATATGAAACTCTTTATTTCAAAAAACAATTAACAATAGGTGGCATACCCGCTAACTTGTGGATATTTTAATGCTTTTTCTTCGCAATCAGAAGCTTATATGGGTAACTATAAATGGAAATTTATAATGAAATTATTAATTTAAGAATAAAGAATGGGTAAATATAACCTATTTCAATATAAAGCTTTAGGAGGTTGTACATTCTTTCTAATCACAACATTTTGATTTAGCGATTACTGTTGATTGTTTACAGTTCAGTGAATATTTAAATAACGCTTAAATGTACTAGGACAGCTAAATAATCGGCTACGTTGTATCTTCCTGTACAACGACACCTAAACTGATCCGGACATATCATTGCTCTCTAATGTACTGTCGTTTTATTGTCTTATTAGCAACTCGCAAACAGATTAACAAATAATTCTTATTCAAAAATTTTTCTGTCATAATAATTTGTTATTCACCCAATCCACCCATGATGAGTTAATGCAGTAACGCGTTCTGTACATGTCGTTCTCAGTCAACTGCCCATTTAGTGTAATTCTTTCTTTGTAAATGAGTTTTCTTGCCTTTGCAGGAGGTTATGGCGGCAAGGGTCGAAAAGGTTGGTGATGTGGCACCATTTTTTAATATGAGTTTGGTTCTCTGACATAGATTTTAAATCACTCCAAAATGTATGGTGCATGGTGAGAATAGACTATAAGTAACTACAGCAGTGTCAACTACAGCCGACCTTAAGATGTACACCAAATTGTCGTTTCTGTGTGTGTGATTCCTCATTATCGACTTAACGACATATCTTTCACAATACATCTTCTCTCAAGTGTTTTAGTGTTACAGAGACCTTTTTCTAGTTCTCTTTTTCGGCACGTTTATATATGGATGTACTAAATTGTTGTTCTTGCCAAGAGTCTTTGAGCTCAAATAAGATATTCGATGTTCCGCAAGCTCTGCTTAATGGTAAAGTTATCTTTATTAGTGTTCAGCACGCAGCACACCTATAAGCCAGACGATCGCATTGGCTATGGTCTTTATCAAACTTAGTAGCCAATAAAATTGTTGGCGGTGGTACATTAAAGTGGATTATGTTTTTTCATCATACGATAAATTATTTTGGTTCTATGTACAACAGCAATGTTTGCTTGTGGGACGCAATAACAGTTTTTTTTTCTGTTTTTTTTTTTTATGAAAATGAGCCCTTGAAAATTCTTAGCTAAGTTTTTTAACTGCTTTTTAGATACTGTTTCAAAGGCTTTGTCCCATATATATAGACAACACAATTATTATACGCGTATTACCAATGAGACGATTGCTTTGTTTTCTTTGAACCCCTTTTTTGTAAAATTGTTAATTCTCATTTAATGCGTAACATTTTTCAACAGCTGGGACTATCACTAAAACCTATGTATGTCACCTTGCTTACTCCGTTTCCACAAATGTCGGAAGGTATTTAGTTTTAACATGTGTTAATATCTGAATGATACTTCTGAACTTTCAGCCACTCAACCCGTGGACTACTATGGTAAGCATTTCATGTTGTTCGAATGAGCCTTACGAAAATGTTCTGGTGTTGTCAATTGTTATTTATTTCAAGAAACTATCGCTGCATTGGAGTAGTCTTCATAACCTACTTATTAGGTGTACCACGCCTAATTGTAACGATCCAGTAACCCTAAACTCAACAAAGTCATGTGCAATGGTCAGTGTTCTCTAACGCCTTTAGATGCTTGAATCAATCAACATTATATATTATAAAAGCAGAACATTCGAACTATTCGATGTCAAACTATGTGAGAATTTAGTTATCCACATCACTGTTTGATGAAAAAATTCAAAATATTTTTTAACCTTTATTGATAATAAAAGAAAAAATTTCGCTTTATCGTAAGCATAACTTCATTGCGAACTCATTTTGCATATTGATTTTGAATTGGCTAAACACAATATACGTAAAGCAAATTTTCAATGTTCACTACCAATATTGTTCAAGTGTACCAATTTATATCCCATTTATGAGCAGCATTGTTATTTGTAGACCGTTTATGTTTTTTTTTTATCTACTAACGAATAATGTGTGTGGCGGTTCCATGTGTTCGCCTCCTTGGCTTCGTTTGTTCGCTGATACAGTACTGACGCACTGGGACGAAGGTATGTATCATAAGTTGGATGAGCAACTTCATACATTCAGGGTACATGTCTTACTAATAGATAAAAGCACTCATCTAGATAGTTACTAAAGCAACGTTCTATTTTAATGAGTAAGAATGCAGAACACATATATTTAAATCAGAACCGATTTAACAGATGTAGTAGCAAGATGAAATCATAGAGATTTCATTTACTTTTACGACCTATATTTTTAATTCAGTTTACAACGTTCGTATAAGCTTTGGGTGCTTCTTATATATAAAAAGGCTTAGAAATATATATATATATATATATATATATATATATATATATATATATATATATTTACCGTGATTCTATAGCTACTTCATCTGTCAAATCAGAAATCCAGTGGTGGTTGGTTTTTATTATTAACCAACTTCTTCTGCCTTATCTTCACATGTTTATTCACCTTTTTCTATAGGCAGCTAAGGTGTGATTGAACTAATTATACTGTTACCGTTTACTCTCAACCCCCCACTGTCTTAGCTTTATAAAATGCTGCTTATTCTATACATATGTCTAACGACAATTGATCCTTAATTTTTATCAATTTGTCCAATTCTGCACTCCCCTACGCGATATATTACAAAAAAGTATATAGAAGCCTTCGACTCAATGCTTGGTGTTGGAAAGTCTTCGTTCTTATTAAGTAAAGAAAAGGAGGATCACATCATCCCTGAAAATGGTTGCGGCGACTGTAACTGTCCTACGTTTCTTGTCATTGCTATAACTTTTTCTGCTACTACTGCTGCTGCTGCCACTTCTACTTTCATGGTTATAACAGCCTGTCCTTGTTACTATCACAATGCGTTTTCCTAGTGACTTTCTGAAGATTGCGCTTAACTGCAACTATTTACGGTTGACAACTAATATTTACATACTGATCTCTGAGTCAACGTTTCCTTGGTAAAAATGTAAATATACCATAATACTTACATAAAATGTAT